ATGAACAGGAAATCAACAGGAAATCAACAGGCAGCGAACAGGCAAAAATTTGTAACGTATTAAATTGAAAGAAAAAACCAAAAGCCAAGAGCGGGATCGAACCCCGAACCCACGCCTGAGAGGTCGACCCACTATCCACTAGGCCACCGTTGTCTTCGAGCTGGCGATTGAAAAGCGCCCTTTAAAGCTCGTGCTTTAAAGCTTTCCCTTGCTTGACTGACTTTGTCATGTTCTTTTGGCCATCCTTGAATTCTTGAATGCACGAAACTTTAGTAGTATTTAGTATGGTGTAGAAAGAACAGTATAAACTTGGACCCAGTCTATTTGCTTTTGTTTTTCTCAAGTATTTTGGTTTGTTAGTTTGTCAAAAATTCCACAATTTATCATTAAAGAATTGGTGAACATTGGTCCTTCAAAAATTCCCATTTTATTTGTTTTTCTTCACCCAATTTGTAACATGACCTCCAGAAGCGCCGAAAAGTAAAACGAAAAAGGCGAAAATTATTTCCTCGACGAAACAAAGGCGTTGAAGTCGAGTGTCCAATATTTGAAGGGTACGTGAAAGACTTGAAAGTACTTTTGAGGATGGGAATCGGTGTTTAATGGTCTATTTGAGGGTCTAGAGTCTTTTGGGAGTGCCTGCAGCGACTCACACATTCATTACCGTTTACTTTCAGTAGTCCATTTCGAGGATTTGCATCGCTGAAATTGATCTAACCATTTTAAAAGGTTTTTCTCAAAAAAATTTCCATTTTAAGAATTTATCTGCTCATTCTGGAAGTCACGAAAGCTAATTTCAATTTGTAAAATTCAATCCGTCAGCTTTCAAAGACCTCAGGACACCCGATATGGAATAAAAGCGTTTTAACGATATTCAGCCAACAAAATTTGCATTTATCGATCGTGATGTCTATTGAAGGCAGGACAGGCAGGCAGGCGTTTTTAGGATCTAAATGTCAATAAAGAAAACCCTTGCATAGTCAGCCTACTTAAGGCCTCAAGGTCCACAACCCTCCTCTTTCCATATCCATTCCCCCATTCCCCCATTCCCCCATTCATTCATTCGCCCTTTTTGTGCTCCAGAGTAGGATGATTGCTCATCATGACACTCAATTCACCCACCCATTCACCCCTTTTCTTCGCCAAAACCACCCAAACACTCAATTTCCCTTTTCGGCGCCAATTTTCGCCTAATTTCCATTTTGATTGTTGCTTTCCGGCGCCTCATTTACGATTATGGAAGGCACAACGCCCGAATTTCAAAAAATTCCCTCAAAATTCTCAAGTTTCACCATGGCCGAGTGGCTAGCGAGCTTGGCTACCAAGCGAAAGGTCAAGGGTTCGAACCCGGCTGCTACCAATTTCGCAAAATCGCCTTTATTTTCTTTTCCTCACCTTCTGTGCGCTCCAGCACCTCCGGAAACTTTCCTCACACCTCCGGAAACTCGCTAGATGAACTCGAAATCGCTCCCGAGCAGATCGTTGTCTATTTTTGCTTTCCACACCAAAAAAAAGCGAAAACTGGGTCAAACCGGTGCAGGACAATGCCGCGAGCAAACTGGAAACCCAATTTTCGTTTTCTGACCTCATTTTTGCTTTTCAAGTGAAAGCCATTCAGCCAACACCTTTCGGCGAATCGGCGCAGCTGAGTCTGGCTGAATAGCTTGACCCGGAAAGGTAGTAATTAAATTTTTCCCTTAAATAATGACTATCTGGAAGTCATGTAGTCTTCTCCAAATGTTTCCTCTTTGAAAAGTCTCAAAAAAAATTTCGGTTTAATTACCCAATTCTCCGAAAATTCCTAAAATCCAAATTTTCCCAAATTTACTCAATCTCCGATTTTTTTAAGCTTAAAATCTTTTGTGACATCCAGAAGGCTTATTCTAATCTTTTCAGGGTCAATTCTCTGAGAAATTCAAGATTTCCCACTACCAACTCGGATCGATTACCCAAATTTGTGCGAAATTTTCAAATTTTCAAGAATCTTGTCCGCAAAATCTCTTGTGCAACCCAGCTCGGTCATTGCGATCTTTTCGAATGAATAATTGATGCAAGCGGCCGCGCACAGATGGTCCAACCGATTTTTCATGTACTCCTCCACGCAAAGCTGTCTCTTTTCCATTGACATCGATCCAGCCATTAGATGAATTCATTAGCCGTGCTGAGAGCAATGTTATGTGTTTAGCGTCGAAAAAAATAGTAATCAGTTGAAAGTAGAGTTTTTTTTGGGGTCTAGAATTGAAAAGAATTGCTGTTTTTGAAAGCTCGAATTCCCAGGTCCCAACTCCGCTCCCAATTTAGCTACTCTAGTAAATTTTGAGCTAAACAGAGGCACCAGTTTAGGAAACAAGAACGAACAAAAAGCTAGCTTCTATAAAATGACTCAGCAAAGAGCACCGAACCCAGATATTCAAACTGCATAGTACTAAAACTTTTCAGCTAAATAGCGTAGTGCTACCAGTTTAGAGAAACTCAAGAACCGGCCCAAATCAGTCTAGCTCTTTAAATGACAGCTAAACACCACCGTAACCCAAAACCAATGCATATTAGGAGATAGCAATCAGCGAGTGATCCGTTTAGTGGATCTTTAGAACAATCATCTGTCTAGCTCTATGCAGCTAAGGTACCGAAGATATTCAATGATAGTAACAGCTAAATCAGCGTAGTGCTATCCAGTTTAGAGAAATCTTCAAGAATCCGGCCTCAAATCAGTCTAGCTTTCTTTAAAATGACTCAGCTAAACACCTACCGTAACCCCCAAAACTCAATTTGCATATTAGCAAGAAATTTTGAGATAGATTTGTACACTGTTCTCCAGGATACCCAAATTTTCGCTGATCGTCTAAATAGAGCTATTTCAAGGGCTATTTATTAGGTTCATAAAGTTGCCGGTCTAGCCACTTCTTCACGGTTGTTCTAGCAATCTTTCTAGGCCAAGCCAGAGCAAAAGTATGACCTGGCTTCTGGCTTGGCCTTACCGTGCCTGTCTTCTGGCCTGGCCAGACCTGACCTTGTCTTTCCAAGGTTGGCCTGGCCAGCCCAGAAATTCAGGCCAGAATTGGACCTGGCTTCTGGTGTGCTTCTGGGTTTCTAGCAGGGCTCTGACCTAACTTGAAACTTTTCAATCCCTTTACTCTTCTCCCTTTCAACTGCATTTCTTCCTCCATTCCTCGAATGACCCTTGTCCTCTTCCCCTTCTCAACTAAGCCCATTCTTTTCTCTTTTCATCCCACTTGATTCCCATTGTTGCAAAAGGAGTTCAATCTCCTCACTCAATCCGTCCTTTTCCTTTCAATTCCAGCCTTTTCTCGCAAAAATTTCTTCTCATTCTTCTACAAAGCCTTTGCTTTCGAACACAGGCTCTTCCGTTTCTAAACACGCAAGAATTCTCAAAGTTTTGACTCTAATGAAAATTTTGTGAAAATCCAAACGATCAATAAAGTCTTTCAACTTTTAATGCAATATTTTTATTTCGAATATCTTTCTGTATTCTGTAATTCTGTAACTTCTGGTATTGTAAATGAATGTTGAGGGCTTAAAATAGCGTTCTTGAAAGCCCTCAACTCTAACCTTCAACTCTAACCTTTAACTCTAAGCCTGTAAGCCACGTTTGGATAGCCTAGATACCAGGTTGAGAGTTGGTTTGGCGATTTCTTGTATAAAATATCCTTTGAAAAGATCGCAATGGTCAAGCTGGATTACATAAGAGATTTTGAGAATAAGATTTGAGAAGAATTTGAGAATTTGCACAAAGTTGGGTAAATGATCCGAGTTCATAGTCCGAAATCTTGAATTTCTCAAAGAATTGACCCTTGAAAAGATGAAATAAGCCTTCTGGATGTCACAAGAGATTCTAAGCTCAAAAAAACCGAGTTTGAGGGAAATTTGGATTTTATGAATTTTCGGAGAAGTGCGTAATTCAACCGAAATTTTTTTGAGACTTTTCAAAAGGGAAACGTTTGGAGAAGTTGACATGACTTCCAGATCGACATTATTTAAGCGAAAAATTTAGTTACCACCTTTCCGGGTCAAGCTATTCAGCCAGACTCCGCTGCGTCGATTCGCCAAAAGATGGCTTTCTGGCCTTTCTTCGCGTTAAATTAAACCGAAATTTTTTTTTCTGAAACTTTTCCAAAGTGGTATTTTCACTAGCGAAATGATTAAAAGAGCCTTTCACTTTCACTGACATGGCAAACACGCACACGTTTCTCTTTTTCCTTTCCTCTCGCTGAAGAACCTCGAAGACCCCTAGGGCCTCGAGGACCTCTTTCTATTCGTTTTTTTTCAGCTTTCCCCCCTTCCACATCTCGTTGAAGTCCCGAAAAACGCTCCTCCCATTTTCTGCCTCAATTTTTTTTGCGCTCCTCTTTCTTCCATTCTAGTCCATTTCCATTCCATCAAGAGCCGCCTCCCGGAACCCAGAACCTATTGATTCTTCATCCATGTGCAGAGGAGATTTTCAAGTTTTGCTTAGTGATTGGGGTTCTGTGACCTCCAGCTTAGAAATCTTGTTCAAACATTTTTCCAGAGCTTTGAATTCCAGCGTTTTTTCCTGTTGATCTACATCCATGTGCTCAGCTTGAGAAGATTTTCAAGTTTTGCCTAGTTCTGCTTAGTGATTAGGGTTCTGTGACATCCAGCTTAGAAATCTTGTTCAAACACTTTTCCAGAGCTTTGAATTCCATCCGTTTTTCCTGTTGTTCTTCATCCATGCACTCCAGCTTAAAGAGATTTTCAACTTTTCCTAGTTCTGCCTAGTGATTAGGATTCTGTGACATCCAGCTTGGAAATCTTGTTCAAACATTTTTCCAGAACTTTCAATTCCAGCCGTTTTTCCCGTTGATCTTCATCCATGCACTCCAGATTGGATTTTTTCGTTGAAAAACTTTGAAATCTTCTTACAAATTTTATGAAATTCTGCTCAGACTCTTTATTTTGTGTTTAACAAGCGACAATTTAAAGTTTTATATTTGTTTTTCAGCACAAATTTCCCTATGGCGATGAATCGGGTAATTTTTGTGTTTCTGGCGACATCAGCGGCAGCTTTTGCATCGGTGGGTTTTAGAAAAGAAATGATTTTCTAATAAAATGAAAATCCTAGCTAGGTTTACATAGATTTACATAGATTTCCCGGGAATTTTATTCTCACCCGGCCCGGACACTGTAAGGATTGACAGACTGAGAGCTCTTTTGATTCGGTGGTTGGTGGTGCATGGCCGTTCTTAAAGCGAAAGCATTTGCCAAGAATGTCTTCATTAATCAAGAACGAAAGTCAGAGATTCGAAGGCGATTAGATACCGCCGTAGTTCTGACCGTAAACGATACCATCTAGCGATCCGGTGGTGGTTTTACCGCCTTGCCGGGGAGCTTCCCGGAAACGAAAGACTTCCGGTTCCGGGGGTAGTATGGTTGCAAAGCTGAAACTTAAAGGAATTGACGGAATCGCACCACCAGGAGTCGAGCCTGCGGCCTAATTTGACTCAACACGGGAAAACTCACCCGGCCCGGACACTGTAAGGATTGACAGACTGAGGGCTCTTTCTTGATTCGGTGGTTGGTGGTGCATGGCCGTTCTTAGTTGGTGGAGCGATCTGTCTGGTTTATTCCGATAACGAGCGAGACGCACCCCTACTTAATACACCGCGAATAATTTCGTTCGCAGGTGTCCTTAGAGGAATTGGCGGTATCGAGTCGCACGAAAGTGCGCAATAATAGGTCTGTGATGCCCTTAGATGTTCGGGGCTGCATGCGTGCTACGGCTACTACAGCTACTGGAGTCTGCAACGTGTTCCATGGCCGAAGGGTCACTGGCAAACCGTTAAAAAGATTCCGTGGATAGGGAATTGCAATTATTTCCCTTGAACGAGGAATTCCTAGTAAGTGTGAGTCATCATCTCGCTCTTAATACGTCCCTGCGATTTGTACACACCACCCGTCGCTACCTGGGACTGAACCGTTTCGAGAAATCCAGGGAATCGTTCGCGGGACTTGTTCTTTGCGAGTGGTGAACTGGCGGTATCGAGCCGCACGAAAGTGCGCAATAACAGGTCTGTGATGCCCCTAGATGTTCGGGGCTGCACGCGTGCTACACTGGAGTCTGCAACGTGTTCCATGGCCGAAGGGTCCATGGCCGAAGGTCTCAAAAAAGCTAGCTTTAGCTCAAAAAAAAACGACCAAATTTCATATAAAAATTCAATCGAAAACTTCAAAAAAAGAGCATTTTCGCTTAAATGTTTCTACATATTTTTATCACTTACATCTCTTTTTTTCTGCATTTACATCTCTTCACTGAACACTTTCCAGAATTCCCTCTGCGAGCAATATGTGGAATGCATGGCGGCCGTCCGAAACAAGCAACAACAGTGCGCCACGTTGGAGGATACCGCTTTCCAAAATACCGTGAGATTTAATGAGAATTTCATCGTTTCACAGCTATCTGGAAGTCATGTAACCTTTTCCAAATGTTTCCCTTTTGAAAAAGCTTCCGAAAAAATTTCGGTTTAATTACGCACTTCTCCGAGAATTCCAAAAAATCCTAATTTCCCTCAATCTCCGACTTCTTGAGCTCAAAATCTTCTGTGCCATCCAGGAGGCTTATTTCAATCTTTTCAGAGTCAAAACTGAATGCGGGTAAGAAGGTAAACGATGGGTAACTGATTCTACCGAAAAAGCATTAAATCAAACAGGAATAATTGAATTTTTCGCTTAGATAATGACTATCTGGAAGTCATGTAATCTTTTCCAAATGTTTCCCTTTTGAAAGTCTCAAAAAAATTTCGGTTCAATTACACACTTCTCGAAAAATTTAGAAAAGCCAAATTTCCCCCCAATCGCCGATTTTTTGAGCTCAAAATCTCTTGTGACATCCAGAAGGCTTATTTCAATATTTTTAGGTGTTTATTCTTTGAGAAATTCCAAATTTAACGCTACCAACTCGGATCGATTGCCCAAATTTGTGCGAAACTTTCAAAATTCCCCTCAAAACTTATCCGCAAAATCTCTTGTGACATCCAGCTCGCTCATTGCGATCTTTTCAAATGCATTGATTGATGCACAGAAAGAAGATTTCGGTTCAGTTACCCACCACTCAAAAATCCCAAAAGTCCCAAAAATCCAAATTTCCCTTAATTTGCGATTTTTTCAACTTAAAATCTCTTGTGAGGTCCAGAATGCGTATTTGAATTCTCTCAGGGCTAAAACTCCCTCAAAACTACTTCACATTAGACTCCAATAATTGCTAGCTTTTAGAAATTGAACGAATGCGAGGCGGCCCGCGACGAGCACAACAAAATGAACCAGCTATTGGCTGAGGTGATTTCGAAACGCTAGACGTTATTGATTTAGCTGATAAACTCCAGGGGATCTTTCTTCATTTATCGATTTCGAATTTCAGAAAGCCGCCGCCGAAGACAAATGCGTTTCGGAAAAAGCCGCTTCAGCCACCGAACTCACCGGGAAACGAAAAGAGAAATGTGATAAGGTAAAGTAAAGTAAAAACTAACGACTTTAACGAATTTTTCACTATTTTCGAGCTTGGGACACATTTTTCGACCTTGGAAATTGAAAATCAAAAGTTTTTAACCAAATTTCAAAAAGCTCACTTAGAAAAGCTGACGAAAAGCTTTTTTTTTGTTTAGAAAACCCTTGCTAAAAGCCTTTTTCAATAGAAAATAAATGATATTCAAGTTATCTTTAAAAATAAGCATATAAAAATGTTTTTAGGTCTCAACCGCCTTTGAGACTGGTACCGCTACGCCACCGGCGGCCACCACTGAATCGGAGAAAGTGCGACGTGCGCTTAGCAAAGGACTCAAAGTAAGCTCAGAGAAATAAAGAAAAATTTCATTGCTTATCTTCTCACCTATTCTTTGTACTTTAATTTGCTGACTAGGCGTGCAAAAACAAACGTACTCGTGTCAAGATATGAGCGTTTGTTTAAGAGTAAACTTACGACTACGCGACGCTTCGATATGGGGCTTATATTAGAAGATTTACGGTAGTTTTTGCGAGCTTTTTCACTGGTTTATCACTTTTTTTCTAGAAAATCCTGGGTTAACGCTTTAAAATCTTGGTAAAACTACCGTATCCCTTTTGGAGGTGAAAAGAAAAGAAAGAGGTTCAGATTTGGTTCCGATTTAGCTCTGATTCAGTTCTGATTCAGTTCTGATTCAGTTCTGATTCGGTTCCGATCCAGTTCTGATTCAGTTCCGATTCAGTTCTGATTCAGTTCTGATTCAGTTCTGATTCAGTTCTGATTCGGTGCCCCTCTTGCAGATAACGCGCCATTTCTCTCTTCCATTCTTCATTTCATTTCATTCTTTTTACGTCTTTCTGCCCATTCTATTAGTAATTTTTCTGAAAACACCGATGTTTTTTGAACGGAATTGACGCTTTAAACCACGTTTCAAGTAAACCCGGGCGTCGGCAAAAAAGGTCGCAAGTGGTCAACTTTAACTCTGAGCCTTTATGAAAGCTAATCTAGGGCTAATCTAGCTTAATAGCTCTCGAAAAATAAACAGTCAAATCTACAACAGAAACTAGGGCTCACGATAGTGCTAATATTGAATTAAATTTCAGAACAAAGCCGCTAAACTGCAGCATCGAGCCTGCTTGAGAGACTCGCGACAACAGCGCTCGAAATGCGTCGCCTTGGCCAAATGCTGTCAACCGGTGAAACAGTGGGTTTCTTTGGCATTTGGCTTTTGAAATTTGAATTTGGGATTTGAAATTTGAATTTGGGATTTGAAAGTTGAAATTTAAAAGCATAAATCTCGAATCTTAATCCATTTAAGATGCCAAAATGATACGACTTTCAAGAGCAAGATTGTCGCCTTGAGAAAGACGACCAAGGAGAAGACCAAGGCTTGCAGACAGGCCACACAGAAAAGAGTTCGTTTGTTTTTGGAATCAGATTTAATTTTCGAGCCCAACTTGGCTTTTCCTATTGAAAATTTCCAGGCCCAGGCCACGCGTGTGAAAAAGGCGAAAAAGGCGAACAAGGGAAAGAAGAACAAGCAGAACAAGGTGAGAACAAGCGGTTTTAAAAGCGCTTTGGTTTTTTGAAATTTCGTCATCCTGGATAGCGCGACGCTAGTTTGTCTCCAAATTTCTAAATTATATGCAAATTTGAATATCAGGCTTACGGTAGCTGGATAATTTTATAGAAAAGCAGACTGCTTTGAGACTCGCATTTTCGAAAATTTGGGTTTCATGGATAGCAGTATATACAAATTTATTACAAAATTTCTAGCTGATATGCAAATTTGAATATCTGCGTTACGGTAGCTCTTTAGCTGAGTCATTTTATAGAAAGCTAGACTGATTTGAGGCCGGATTCTTGAAGATTTCGCTAAACTGGGTAGCACTACGCTGATTTAGCTCAAAAATTTCTCGCTAATATGCAAATTGAGTTTTGGGGGTTACGGTAGCTCTTTAGCTGAGTCATTTTATAGAAAGCTACACTGATCTGAGACCGGATCCTTTAAGATTTCGCTAAACTGGATAGCACTACGCTGATTTAGCTCAAAATCCCTTGCTAATATGCAAATTGAATTTGAGGTGTACGGTAGCCGAGTTACTTTATAGAAAACAGCTTAAAATTTGAAATTTTCAGAACGAAACGAGCACCGTCGCCGCGAAAACAGCCTAAACAAGTGAAAGAAAAAGATTTTGTTCCGATTTTTGCAAAAAACAAAAAACTTGTGATATTCAGTTAAGTTCTGTACAAAAATGGCTCTCTTTTACTTTTTTGGATATTTTTTTATGCTTGCTGAACTTCAATTTTCCCCAAATTTTTCCCATTTTAGCCCCAAAAAGGCACAGGGTGCTTTGAAATTTAATATTTTCCTAAAGAAATTCAATTTTCCTTTCCGGCTACTGTAGCTTTCCCAGACAAAATAAACTTTTCTGTCGAAGCGCTAAGCGGCATTTAAACAGCATTTAAAAAAAGCTAAAGTCAAAAGTGAGGCCAATTTGGGTCAAAAGTGCTGGCTTAGAATTGATTCAGTGAGGAAAGATTACCGATACAAGAAAACCTCCTCCACGATTCCGATTTCTCATCGTTTCTCATTTGTTTTTCCAGAGATTTAAGCAAAATTTTGCGATTCCCAGCCAATCTGGAGGTCATCGTGGAAATTTATGAGAGATTTTTTTGGTTTTGACAATTTAGAAAATTTTAGTAAAGTTCAATACATAGCTTCAACTTTTTACTGAACTTTGTTGAAAGAATTGTTGAAAATTTTGCGGGGAATTTAGCGAAAGAGTTTCTGATAATTTGATAATTGATAATTTTAGGCAAGCTCGAAATGCATTTTCAACTCTTTGAACTGACACTCAAGTCTGATTGTGTTAGAAATGCCGAATTCTATGGTGGAACCTTCATGTTTGTTCCTAGGAGTAAACGGATATGGACTAGAATTTGGGTTAAGTTAAAGAGAGTGGACCCCGCTTGATATCCTGCCATCTCTAACACCCTGACAACCCGACTCAACTCCTCCAACGTATTAGAGGGGAGTCCCTTGTCTTCCTAGGCAATCCCAAGAACCGCCTGCTTCTCGGTGATGAAAGGGATAAGCACAGGGGAGATCACATTTACATAAGAATAGACAAGCCATTCAACAATAACAATAGTAACTTAAATATCAGTTTCGCTCGGAACTGACAATTAGATCCAGTAGTGTATCTCTCACTGACTTCAATCTAACTAAACTGCATAAGCAACTCATATTTGCAAAAAAAAGCAACTAAAATCAACTGATAAACCCCCTCAATGACTCACCTTAAATAGGGTTTGAGGGCTGAAAATTTTCACTCCAAGAAAAAACAATGCCTTCAGGCCTGTTATGTTCAAATGTACCGTGTACTTTTCAACGTTCCAAGTAACAAAACCCTGCCTAGCATTTTGTTACACGAAACTCGAAAGGAGTTTACCGTTTCTTTTTATTTGTGAGCCAGTTTAAGCCATTTATCTTGCATGTGTAAATTGTGTAACGAAAACGAGATACACAACTGAAAGCAATAGAAACACCCATGGAAACAATCACACAAGGGAACTCTTGACAGAAAATGGAAAAGATTGTCGTTATCACAACAATTTCTAGCAAAGAAAAGCAGGTCAATGGCAAAATAAATCTAAACAAAATGTGAACCTTGGCATACAAGAAAGTGTGTAAATGTGGGAAATATTTGAAAGGAAATCACAAACGCCAATCGAGCGAGCCATCAAAACACAGAAGGATTGAAAAAACGGAAAAAATCCTTAAGAAAATCACAATCAGACCAAAGAGCAATCCGAATATACCTATGGATACGATGCGTCAAAATCGATCAAGATCAAGTTTCTCCTCTCGTGTCCGTTTAGCGATTTAACTGCGAATAGGAGAAATGTTTCGGTCGCGAAGAGTCTCCAAATCCAACTGTCTGCCTGAAGACGAACGAGGTCGCGAACAAAGATACCTAAAAATCACAAAATGATAAAAAAGTTGTATAGTTGATAAAAAACTAACAACAGCATACTAACCCTAAACATCGCTTTAAACTTGAATAGTTAACGAGTCAAATTATGTAGTTAATAAATTCTACTTTAGAAGAAAACTTGCAGTCTGGAAAATATTTGCTTATCTTATAGCCTACATTACTAGGTAATTTAGAATAACATACCTTTATCCACATCCCACAGCTTGATCGAGCCATCACGAGAACCTGTCACCAAACGTCCCGAGTCGAGCACATGGAATGAAGTGATGTACGACGTGTGACCATTTGCGTCTTGCAGGCGATGAATGAACGAACCACCGTCACGAATGTCCCAAATCTAAAGAAAAGGAAGTAGTTGTCATAAGATTGATTAAACGCACCCCAACGGCCCGGTCGCAATAGCAGGAGACCAAAACATTTCCGCGAAGCTGGAAGTCAGAGCAATAATATTGATGCGTGCGAAGAATCGCGATGCATGCTGAAAGAAACAAATATAGAGGAGATTGCAACAAAATAGCGAAGTAAAACACACTTCCTCTTCGAACATCCCAGACGCGAATCTTTCCGTCACGACTACCCGACACGACAAGATCACGCTCTGGCTCAAACTAAAGCAGAATCCTGATTAAAGCCAAAAATTGATAATTCAACTCACCAAAACTGACAAAACTGCATAAAATTGGCACTTGAACTCACCAAAAGTGAATAGACTCGATCCCTGTGACCCGTCAGCGTGTGCAAACACTGCCCCGTCTGCACATTCCAAACCTTATAGAATCTTATAAAATTGAACAAAAAAGAATTACAAACCTTTACAGTAAAAGCATGACCACAAAATACAACCCGTTTTCCATCAAATTGCACACAGCAAACCTGAAATTTAACTTTGCTTAGGCTATAACTTTGATACACACACCTCCGCCAAGTGGCCAGTCAAAATGTGAAGGCATTTCCCCTTGACAATGTCCCAGACGCGGAGCGTTTTATCGCTCGATCCAGAAACAAGACTGAAACATTATGATTTTAGCTGAAGCAGAAAATTTAGATAACTCACGTTGTGCCATGTAGATTTATGCAGAAAACAATCCTCGTATGTCCCCGCAGAACATGAAGCTGTGCACCGGTTTGACCACACCAAACCCGCAACGTTTGATCATACGAGCCACTTAAATAGTGCAATAGACTTTGTTATCACAAGTACTTTTGTCTAGAAAATTGTTAGCTTCTTCGACAACACTTTTCAATTGCACTAGCTAGAGCCTATTAACTAACCTGACAATGTATTTGCCATCATCGCTCACTTGAGACGCCCTAACACGACCGATATGGCCAGTTAGAGTGAAAGCCGGCTAAATTAGGATGTATAATAATCGAAAAACGAAACAAACTTGAGCATCATCAACATTCCAGATCCGCAACGTATTATCACGATCATCACCAGCAACGATACGACCACACTGAACTTGTAGATGATAATGTCCATCGTGACCCTAAAACAATTTTTATAGCCAAAACATTTGTCCAAACCCTTAGAACAGTGCTTGATTGAATCGCTCGGGAGCGCCAATTGGAAATGATTCGCTTCTTCCGCAAGTACAACGACTTCCATGACGATCGCTCATAACATCTAGAAAAAATTTAATTCAGCAACAAGTTGCGTCACTAACTGTCCATATGCGATCTCGCGTTCTCGTCGATTCTGATGTGCTTCTTGAGGGTTCATATGTGAGGGGATTGTGATTCCCGCTCGTTTAATTGCTCGACTCGTCGCCCAGCCTCCGAGAAAACGGAAACTGAACAAAAACAAGTTAGATAGAAGATTGTGATTAGAGAAGATTGTGATTCTCGCTTGTTCATTTGCTCGATTCGTCGCCCAGCCTCCGAGAAAACGAAAACTGAAGAAAAAGAAGTTAGTGACAAGCTTGTGACGAATCCTTTACTAATCGTATTCTTAAATGTGGCCCAGTTCACCGGCCAGTTCACTAGTTCATCGAAAAAAACATCATCATTTATTTTCTTTCGCTTTACATCTTTATTTGCTTTGGAATTAATAACAGTATCACCCTATACCTTAGAAGTGTAAGATCTAGTTTAATATAAATCTATCAGATATGTATTTTTAAATGTTATGTCATCTGTTCAAAACTGTAACACACCTTGGCGCATCAAATTTCACATATCCTTTCTCCAAACATTTCTTTTGCCACGTCCGATCATCTTCACAAATTTGCTGCCACCTCCGCGAAACGCCAGCACAAACCGTCAAATCGCACGGTGTCAAATAGGCGATGATGAGATAAGCAACCTAAAAGTAAACAATTAATCCCTCAAGCTTTAACAAAGCCAAACCTCCTCTGGCAACTGTGACAAAAAATCCTTTTGGAACAATGGTTGGATGCGATGCCTGAATTTGAAAATTAAATGTTTAAGGTCAATTTCTTTACTCTTCGAGTTGAGACTTGCTGCTCTCCGGCTTGTCTGACATCTCCCCTAAATGAAAAATTACAGCAGAGATAACACCGTAAATAACAAACTGAAAAATCCCTGAGCTATACTACTACTACTAGCTACCGTAAATATTGTAATGGTACCGCAACCATTACAATGAATGAAAGCTTTCTAATGAAATAAGTTGATAGCTGTTCTAGAAACAGAGATCTGAACGTTCAAACATTAGCATGCCGTTTGTAGCGGTAAAATCGATAAACAAGTCTACCCTTAGGGCACTCGAGGGATTGGACTAGAGATTGGACTACTTTTGATTTTTCGAGTAACAGAATCTTGCTTGCCATTTTGTCTCTAACACTCTAACAAGTGCACCCACTTAAGGTTAACTTTTGGATCACGATCCAAAGCATTCTTTTGATTTTGAGCTTTCAACAATTAGGTTTGTTTTATTTCTATATTTCAGAAGGTATCACACTAAATTTTTATATTAAAGTTTATATACAAAATTATAGAATAAACACTCTTTCTTTCTGCTTTCCCGAAAGAAATGGCCAGCAAAAATTGTGCAGAGAATAGGTTTTGTGAAAGTGCTTATTCGCGATCCAAACCATTCTTTTGATTTTGATCTTTCAACACTTAAATTTGTTTCAGTTTTCGATTTCAGGAAGTATCACAATGAATTTTTTTGTATTGAGTTTATGAACAAAATTGTTACCTTCCACA